AGCTTCACCCACGTCATTCGTGTTTTGTTAGGTGTCTGTTAATGGCTGGTTTTCTTCTATGTTCACCATTTATAAAATTATAACACAACCATAAAATGCCATAAAGACCAGAAAAATTAAAAAGAAAAAAACAAGACATGTGGAGGACATATAATAAGACCTTGGAACTAGCTAAACTAAGCTAAGGTAAACTAAGAACAGAGCAGATATTAACTTGGCTATAATGGTAACAGAAGCAGACAAATATCACCGTACCTTCATAAATACCACATCAGTTCCAACAGTGAACCTCAACTGGTACAGTTCAAAATTAGTAGAACAGGAACAGATTTCTACTTCTTGCTAGCACGCTCCTAATATTACTGCCGGGTCGGAAGAGTCTCTCCAAGACGAAATATCACGTCAAGATAAGTCCCTACCTCACTACACCGTGTCAAATTCAGCAAGTAACTACTTAAAACTCACATCCTCTTTTATTTAGGACATCTATGGCGTAGACAGGCCTCGAAAGTACAAGACTAAGGCCTTCGTTTACGTTAACTTTGGGTTAGGCGAAGACCATAGGGTCTGCGGCGAAGAAAATAGAGGAGGGACTCATCTTTCTGTTGATACTTCATCTTCGAAAGGTTAGGGTTGCGTCGAGGAAAGGCTGCCTACCAGAGCATACCTCTACCTGAGCGTAGATGTGACACATTGGCATTAAATAGGTATAATTGTCACATAATTATCCTCCATTTTTTGGTCAATTATTTAACTACCGTTTTCTTTCAGTTCGGGAAAATATTTACCCGTTTGTATCTTTCAGCGGGCGGTTATAACGCAAGTGTAGGTTGGGTATTAAACTCCACTCTGATTCGTTAGCGTCAATGCTAGCCGTTAACGTTTGGTTTCCACTACAGCTGTAATGGATGTTAATGTTGTTGAAAACAAAGCTACCGTTAGACGAAGTTTTACGTGTTCTTACACTAAACTAACGTTACCTAGTTGAATATGGAAGTAACATTGGTGTGTCACATCACAAGTTGAAGATAACTTGGCTCATGCTTGGTTGGGTGTTCGGTGAACTTTTTAGTTGACCTGGGTTGTATAATCCCCTCCATCCCTCAGTGAATGAGCCGCGGCCGGGGGCCAGCCAATTTGATGACTGTACAGGATTTTGCATGTATTGTGGTCACCAAAAGTGCCCGGATGTCTCCGACTGTGGCCTTTTGATCTGTCTCTGAAAAGCTTATATTCTGCATGAAAACGCTTGCAGTAACTGTCTGATTTCCACAGGTGACAGCCCTCCCGTGTAATTTGTTTACTTGCATCTGTAATGGAAAACTCTGCTGAAGACTACCGGATCCAGTCATTTGACCTGGACACGCAGAGGTTACTAAAAACAGCCTTGAAAGGTCAACCCTTAACTTCTTCATGTGTGCCATTTTTGGGTGCTGTAAAAAAAAAAAAAAAGCACTTAAACATATTCTCTCTTTTCAGATCCATCTCTGGTGAACCTGGAGAAAGTATCCAACATCATTGTGGATCAGTCTTTGAAGGACCCCGTGTTCAGCAAAGAGGCTGGGCGTATTTGCTACACTATAGTGCAGGTCAGTAAGTCCCACCTATATATTACATTCAAGCTCCCACTTTTTGTCCACCCTCTCACTGTTATCTGCCTGACACTTTGCTTGACACTTTCTGCAGGCTGAAGCCAAGCAGAGCAATGGAAATGTGTTCAGGAGACACTTGTTGAACCGACTCCAGCAGGAGTTCAAAGAACGCGAGGAGATGAGGGCACGCTCTCTGCAGGAGTGGGTGTGCTATGTCACATTCATCTGCAACATCTTCGACTACCTCAAAGTAAGAGGCAGAGAGAGTTTTGAGTATTAAAATTTAGGAAAGGGAAACACAAAGCAGCTTTGTTAAATCACTCTGATTAAAAATGGAACCTTTTCATTGTCCTTATTAAGAGGACATGCTGCTTTTTTTTTCTTGTATGTCCACAGTGCAGACAAACACCTCCTCTAGCTGCATCTTGGGGGTCCTAATATGTTAACTGCAGCACATTTAAGTGTCCAGGAACAACCACTAAAATTTGAACAGATCCTAATTATGCTGCTTCTAAAATCTAGGTCATGTCTCATTTAGTAAGGTGTTTATTCATTGGCAGTGTAAAGATGAGCCTGAAAGGTGTGGTGCTAACACACTCAGGTTCCATCCATGCTTGGAGCCACTGGCATTTTAAACAGAGTGATCCTTATTGTAAGACTACTCAATCCTGGCTTTTGTGTAAGAGAAATCAGAGTCAAGGACTTAACACAGTTTCCTTTTGTTTTATGTTGATAATACTGAGCTGCTGTAAGGACTCTCCACACTGTGTTTTTTAGGTGAACAACATGCCGATGGTGGCCCTGGTTCATCCTGTGTATGACTGCCTGATGAGGTTGGCCAAACCAGACGCTCTAATGAATGAGGATGAGGTGAGGAAGATATCTGGAGAAAGTGTTTATCAGTCATTTGCATATAAGTGTAAAAGTCCTATAGTGGTTTTCAGGACTGACTGGGGGAGTGGGGTTGTTTTGTATAGTCAGTCGATATACCTCCTGTTCCACTGGGTGGTTTTTGTCTGACTACAAATGCATATAAATCTATAAAGGCTAATAAAAAAACTGAACAATTGATTGCTAAAGCTTTCATAATTGCATTTTGGCCAATGAACCTCCACTTTTTTCTGCATAGTGGAACAGTTACCTTTAATTTTAAAGGTTAAAAAGACTTTAATAGCCATTTTTCTATAAAGTAGCCAAAGGGTTGTAATTTTGAGGAAGGCCTCAGTCAGTTTTTGGCTCCACATTGTGTACAAATGTTTACAAATATGTGTGTATATGAAGAGAGATTATTTCATGACTTTTAACTTAATTTCAATTGAATTTTAAATTCTATATAATATAGATACGGTTTTAGAAAGGCATACTTTTTGGTGCTTAATTTATGCTAGCACGTTTGTGTGCGTATTTGCCTATGAAGCGCCGACACAGACAATTTTCAGCCACTTCAAATGTGCTCCCAGGCCATCCTCCAACATCCTAACTGCACATTGTTTGACATGGATGACACTGTGTTGATTAGTTGAAAAGTGGGCCAGAGAAGCACAAAAAACACCATCAAAGATTTAAAAAAACACCATCAAAGATTTAAAAAAAAAAAAAAAATGCAGTATGAGAAGCATGGCCTCTTTTAGTTTTGCTTCAACTTCACTCTTCTCTGTGGCTGGGTGGTGAACCAATAACAGCACATGTAAGTGTAGTCCACAGATGTGTTGTAGCACGTAACATTTATACTGCCCACATTTGGGCAGTCCATGGCTGCCGACAGTTTACCCTAACCACAGCGAAACCATAATCTCCCTTTTAGTGTGACGTTCGTTTTTACTGAGGCGTCTCCACCTTTCTCCACAGGTGGACTGTCTGGTGGTGCAGCTGCATCGCATCGGAGAGCAGCTGGAGAAGGCGGACAACCAACGGATGAATGACCTGTTCTTCCTGCTGCGGGACGGCTTTCTGCTCCAGGAGGGCCTCTCGTCCATGGCCCGCCTGCTGCTGCTGGAGATCCTGGAATTCAGGGCCGGAGGTTGGATGCTCAGCAGCACAGCTCACAAGTACTACTACAGTGAAATAGCTGACTAGGACTCAAGGAGCAGGGCGCTGAGCACTAGAGCCTTCAAGCACCTTGGACACTACTCAAGCGCCACTGATTACAAAACCAGCTTTTTGAGGATAGATAGCAATATCCTCCAAGCAATCTGAGGAGGAGTTTGAGAAGATGGTGATTTCTCTAAAAAGACTAATACAATGTTCCTGACGCGTGCTGTGGAATGTGCAATAGGTCACGCGGAGCTGAAGTTGAGTTAACGAGGTTTGACCACATTCAGGTTCACTTTGTTTCAAAGACATTTGTGTTCAGGTTTGATGCAGCCAGAGGAGCTGAGACAACTTGTTGTTTTGTTTTTTACATTTTTAATCATTCTAGCATTCCTGTTTTGAGAGAATATGGCAACCTTAGTTTACCAAATCCAAATAACATTCCAGTCAGATAAAACCTGATTTAATTATTTTTGATATTTTAGTGTAAACTTAAAATTTTGAAAAGGTTTTAAATTGCGATGGGAAGAGTTTCTGCTTACTTTGTCCTGTAAAATCCTGTTAGCGATCAGTTTGGCAGAGTCTCAATTCAGGGATTTATTTTATTTTTTTGTTTCTAACAGCAGACCGAGCGATTGGTTAAACCGCTTTTCTGCAGAAACATCAGATTCCTTGATATAAAATATTTGTTAAACAAGCTGTACCGATATAACTTGAATACCATCACATGGTACCAACGACTCCATAAAGACTGACATGTTTATTTTTACCTTAAGAGGCAGAGGGATCTGTTTTCTTCTCCTTTATCGGAGCTCCTTTTGCAGGTCAGTTATGATTGCAAAGCTCATAAAAAGTGTTTTTTCAAAACGATTTAACTTCTCTTTACACCAGCAACACTACGTTTGATAGTCCACCATGGCTTTCAGGAGTTTGCTCAGGCACAGGTGCCGTGCTGTTAAAATATTACATCTTTCAAATGTGGTTGTTTTCGTAACCACGATCTGTAGAATGTATGTTGAAATTTGACTTTAAGGCATTCTGACAATGATAAAAACAAAGAAGTTACTTAAAAGCCGCTCACAGATGCACTGAAGTATTTTGTCTCCTGAAATCATTTTCTTTGTTAGTGTAGGGAGATTTAAATTTCAGCTGTTGCAGGTTTTTTTTCTTGCAGATTCTTGGGTCAAATGAACAAAACCAAGAAAAAAATACATTTGTGTGTTAAACTGCAATAAGTCAAAGAAGGACTTAACCAAATCCCTAAATGACTCCACATACCTGACTGTAACATGAATCTATTTTTTACTACACGTTCCATTTTTTCTTTTTTATGATTGGGTTGTGCATTAAATGAAAGTTTGTTCTAATAAATCTTTGTAAGTTTGTATTATTTGCATTTATTATTGCAAATACAACACACTTGTACACAGTACAGCTTCCTTAATACAACAGTGACAGTAAGCCATGTTCAGTTCTTCTTTATACACGCTTCATCCCTCTGACAGCATTTTACAGTCCAAATGATTTTTATGTCTCAGCACTTTGAGCTGCTGCGGCTCTGTGCGGCTGACCTGACTTCTGTCCAGTCTGTTAGTCATCAGATTTCAGTCGACGCCGTTTCGCTGCTTTCTACCACCAGCGGTAGTGAGCATAGGCTCTGTTGGCTTCAGCCATCTTGTGCAGCTCGTACTTCTTCTTCATCACGTTGCCCTCTTTGCCAAAGGCCGCCAGCAGCTCCTGGGAGAGTTTTTCATACATGTGCGTGCGTCTGTGTTTGTTGTCCCGGCACTCTGTGATCATCCACTTCATGGCGAGGAAGCGCCGCCTGTTGTCCGTGAGTGGAATGGGCACCTGGGTGGGGTCAGAGGCCAAGAGGAATGCAATTACTTGCCTTTATGCTTTGCAGATATAAGATCAGCAGATGTGTCTAAAAACCAAACCACAAAGACAAACTGTGTCCCATTTTTAAAGTGTGGAAGCTGTCGAAAAGCATCATTTGTCCTGTCTCCCTCTCATCAGTTATGGCAGATAAATGCCCCTCCCCGGTGCCAATTCAGCTGGAGATTTCTTCCCGTTAAAGGGGAGTTTTCCCTTCCCACTGTCACCAAATACTTTCTCAGAAGGGTCATGTGAATGTTGGGCTTCTCTCTATATTATTGTAGAGTCTTTGTGTTGCCTTGAGGCAACTTGTGACTTGGCTCTATATAAATAAAACTGAATTGAATCTTATTTTTCTGTGTTTTCTGTGCAGGCAGTGGTGTGTCTCATTACTGACCTGGTAGTATTTTCCACCTTTCTGTATGCTGGCTAGCCCAACCACAGGCTTGCAGTTCTCCAGAGCCTGGTGAAAGATGGCGTAGGGGTTACACTCGATCGCTTCCCTCTCCCCCTCAGAAGCTTTGTGATACTTCTCCACCTGCTTCTTCTTTATGTTCTCCAGCGTCTAAACACAAGACAAGCAGTAGTTATCTATTTACCGTTTATTTAGACTGCTGCTGACACCTCTATTTATTATTAACATGGTTTTTTTTACCTGTGTCATTATCTCTCTAGCCAAAACCTTGTTTCCATGTTCCATCATCATGTTGATGAATTTACTGAAAAACAAAGACAAAAATCATCACCTGACATGAACATTCCTATGCACACATCTTTCCTGTTGTTGTGAGCTGAGATGTGAGTCTACCTGATGACTGGGTCATCAAAAACCGAGCTTGAGACTCCGCTGGTGGCTGCCTTGATGGGCCTGAGGGCCTTGAGCTCGCGCTGTTCCTTCTCCTCTGCACTCAGCTCCGTCTCTGGTCGGCTGTAGGCCTCCTTGCTGACTTCAGGTTCCAGATAATAAGGGTTGTATCTGCTCCATCTCACCAGGAACACTCTGCAAACAAATGACAGAACTGAGTTTCACAAAGTTACTGGGTAGTTTGTGTCTGCAGACTACCACAAACTACCCTTTTCTTCACTGTCAGCTGAAGAAAAAAAAAATTTAACTAATCCTAATCTATCAACAAAAAAAAAACAACCTTTTTTTGTTTCGCTAAAGCAAATGGTTATGATTGAGGTCATCACCAATTATAACTCAGTTAATCAATTGGACCATTTACAAGTAATCTATCACATTAAAACTGTTCAAATATTTTTCACTTTCCTATGGTCACGTATCCTTGAAAACCCTACTGTAAAGCACAAGGCTAAAACCCAAGTACACAGTAAACAGCACCACTAAATAAATCCAATAACAGACTGTCAATACACATCAGAAATGTTTCTGTGAATCAGGAATTTCTTCATTATTTGTCAGTCAATCACCAAATATTCTAGTATTTCTTCTTCTTCTTTTTTTTTTTTAAAAATTTAGGGACTCTCAGCTTCTTCCCAGAATTATATAGCTGTGAACTAAATATCTGGATTACAGGCTGCTGGTCAAACAAAGCAAGATACTCTAAAAGATGTCCACAGTCACCACCCACTTCATTTGACACACCTTGCTAGTACTGGGTTGCCTTTTGCATTAATTTTCAATTATTTTGGCATAAAGTCAAAAAGGTGCTGGAAACATTCCTCAGAGATTTGGGTCCATATTGGCATGACAGCACACACAGTTGCTGCAGATTTGTCACACATCCATTATGTGAATCTCTTGTTCCATCACAAACTAACGATGGTTTATTGGAGATGAGATCTGGTGACTGTGGCAAGTTTGAGATCATGTGAGCTTTGTGACTTGGAGCATTCAGGAAGCAGCAAACCGAAGATGATTAACTCTGGTCATAAAGAGACGTGATCAGCAAAAACACTCAGGTAGGCTGTGGTGTTTAAATGAAAGTTGGTGCTAAGGTACTCAAGGAAAAATATCAACTACACCAATGCTGACCCCACCATCCAAACGTCGCAGCAGAAATCAAGACTCATTACACCAGGTAACGTATTTCCAATCTTTTTATCGAATTTTGTTGAGTCTGTGTAAATTGTAGCCTAATTTTCCTGTTCTTAGGTGACAGAGATGGCAGCCGGTGTGGACTTCTGCAGCTGGAGCTCATCTGCTTCACCTCTCTTCCTCATTCTGATGGTCAGTTTGAACTTGAGCCGATCGTCTTGACCATGTCTAAATGAACTCAGTTGGTGCCATGTAATTGGCTGAATAGATATTTTGTTAGCGAGCAGCTGAACAGGTGTACCTAAAAACAACCGGCCGACGTATATTTGCTGATTTGTTTTATAAATAATATAAAATAATAAGTGAAAACATGCAGATATTAATTACATGTGGGATCCATTTATCATTATTTTCAAAACGCCGTTTCAAAACGATAAGATTTGTTGATAAAGAAGAAAACTGTCAATTCTGTCTTAATAAAAATAAAATGTGCTAAACATTACACCCTTCACCTCTTTGGGGGACTAGTTTAAATGTAATACCACAGCTAGTTAGTTTAATTTGTAGTCACTCAAATTATATTAATGTATAAATAACGTACAACTCGAAACCGCCTGCTAATGTGTGCGTGTTAGTAAAATGTTAGTAAAAATGTTTTTCTTTTACCTCGGCGTCCAAGGTTTTAATAATCCTGAGATGGAAGCAGCCATCTTGAAAGTGTGAACGTCGGTTAGGACCCCGGGTTAGTAGTCTCGCAGGTGCCTTTGGAATAAAAAAAAATGCTCCTTTCTGAAAATTCTCATTTTACATTTTTAGTGCCAAAATTGAAGAACTATACATTTTAAAATTAGATTTTGTCTTTTTGTGAAATTAATTCCGACAATAATTTTTTTCTTCGGACTCTCGCGCACACGCCGGTGACATCACGCGATGTTTGTAGTGCTATGGCGTACCAGGAAGGGGAGTCGCTTGAATCTTGGCTCAGTGAGTTATTAATCCCATTTTTATTAATTAAATAGCATGGCTGATTAGCTAGACGTGTTGCTCCGCTGTGATGGAGGAGAAAATCAGCGTGTGCAGAAGCTGTCAGCGCCTCGCCGAAAGCGTCTTTCCTGCAGTTTGAGCAGAGATCCAGGCTGCCAGCCCAGTCCAATCACTGTCTGCATGTTTAGCTGAATGGGTGGAGAGCTGTAATAAACACAAGTCTTTGCCGGTGACAGATCAGTGCGTGCAGTGATTGTGCAGAGGCGCGGAGCTCCGCGGATAGTTACCCCTCGCTGTACAGCTTGAGCGCAGCTTTCATGGCAGAAACAGATGGGTGTGGGAGATGAATGCACAACACTGGAAACTGTGGACAATGCATCTGTTATTACACAGGGGAGGAGTTGTAACAGTCACTGCATTGTCGGGGTCAGCACACGGGACTCACATGTGTGTATATAGTTAATATATATACATACATGTGTGTGTGTATATATATGTAAGAAATATTGTTTTGTTTTGTTTTTTTGGCTTTTGAGATTTGGATTCTGCAAACATTTAAATAGAATGTATTGTGAAGATTAAACCAGGTAACCCAGGTTACTCAATAAGTTTGTTTACCCAAGACAGGGTTGAGTCAGTGTGTGCTGTATGTGGATGACTGGAAATCTGAGGTGGTGGATAAAGGACTGAATAAACTAAAAAACTAAAAGGATCAGCCACGTCTTTTGACAATCTGCAGAGTAAACATTGCAGAGAAGGAAACAAGGGGTTTGAGCCCTCAAAGCTTATCACATTTCAGATTTCTCTTAGTAATTAGCCACAGAAACTTAAGGACCCCCAACCCCAAATGTGAATGATAAATCTTTATTGATAATGAAGCAGTGAGCAAGGCCTCAGGCTTGGACTGGGGGAGGCTTTCACTGTGGATTGATGCCAGATACCTTTAGACTGGTTAAGGGTGGGGTGGGGCAGGATAACAAGGGCAAACAGGTGTGTGGCGCAAGTAGTTATTTATAGACGCATGACCAGGAGGGGAGTGTTTGGGGTTGTTTATGTACAGGTCTGTGTTTTTAGTTTCAGTCTTTAAAAACTTGGTTGTAGAGAAAGAATAAGGAGGCGATGGTGTAGATGCTTGTGGGATGTCTGTGAGTCTGTTGACTTCAAGTGTTGTGTTTATGTGTCTCGCATATTACCAAATAAAAACAGATTAATATTAAATACATCAAATATAAAACTAGGGACACAGTGGTTGTGAATTCTGTGTTGATACTGATGTTTAAATGAACATTTTGGCCAATAACAAATCCTGATATTTATGTTGATTTTTTTTGTTTTATGTTATTATTTGTTTTTGTTTTTTTTGGTTCAGAGCTTTTCTTTTTTCCCTCATCATCACAATGGGTCAGACTAAACTCTGTGTATACAAAGTATTCAGCTGATTAGTCTTAATAATAATACATCACTGATGCCCACTATCAACAGTCCGATAATATCAGATTCTTTAGAAATATTGGTCAGAGAGGATAATTAATGCAGAACTCCTTTTTAGCCTGCTTGTTCTGACTTTGTAAGCAGGATTTTTTTACTTGGAGTGAGTAAATGTCAAGCTTTATGTTATATGCAGTTTTCTGATCCAATTTCTGTTTTATTAATATAACGCAAAATCACAACTACAGTGGCCTCCAGGCATACAATAATACAAAGAAAACCCCAACAATCAGGCAATCCCCTTTGAGCAAGCACATGGTGACAGTGGGAAGGAAAAACTCCCTTTTCACAGGAAGGAACCCATCAGATTCACTGAAGAAGATGCTACTTAAAGGCATATGTTTAGTTGGTGCAATGGTCTTTCTCTTACAGATAAAGCCACCCATCCAACAAACCGGCAAGAGGATTGGGAGTACATCATTGGCTTCTGTGATCAGATCAACAAGGAACTGGAAGGGTAACGTCTAATGCATTTTTATTTTTTTCAACTAGCACAGGAATATATTTATGGATTTATTTTTTCTTTCCGGTCTCTCTCTTTTTTTTTTTGCAGTCCCCAGATAGCCGTAACGCTGCTCGTACACAAAATCCACTCTCCGCAAGAATGGGAAGCACTTCAAGCTCTGACAGTAAGAAATGCTGCACAGAACCGTCAGCAAGCACATTTTTTACAAACTGCTAAACCAACCATTCACATAAATGTCGTGTGGGCAGGTGCTGGAGGCGTGTATGAAGAACTGCGGCAGACGGTTTCACAATGAAGTCGGAAAATATAGATTTTTGAATGAGCTGATTAAAGTTGTTTCTCCAAAGGTGGGTCGTCTTCAGGTAGGTTTCGTGCTGATAAAACACGTGCTGAGTAGCTAATGAGTCATTGCTTTGTATTTCCAGTACATGGGCGACAGTGCACCTGAGAAGGTGAAATTGAAGATTGTTGAAATGCTGTACAGCTGGACCGTCGCTTTTCCCAGTGAAACCAAGATCGGTGAAGCCTACCAGACGCTGAAGAGACAGGGTATGTGTGGATGTGGATCAGTCAGATTAGCATAAAGGATATAAAGACACATCTTCCTCAGTCCTGTCCTTGCTCTCTTTGACAGGCCTTGTGGCACATGACCCAGAGTTACCGCTGGATAGGACTCTGATTCCTTCTCCTCCAACGCGACCTAAACATCCTGTGTTTGACAATGAGGACATGGGCAAGGTGAGAGCTTGCCTCATCCTATTGAATTCATTTGTTTTAGAGTAAATATACTCCGTATACTTATATTATTACAACAAGCAGACTGATGTCTGTGTCTGTGTAGCTGCTTGCTGAGCTTCTCCGGAGTAAAAACCCAGAAGATCTTCAGGAAGCCAACAGATTAATCAAAAACATGGTGAAAGAGGTGAGACATGTCAGACCCTTGTGAATGAGACTATTTACCGCAGCCATTGTGTTCTTTTTCAAATGCACTTTGCACTATTTTTCTGATGTAAAACCCTTTATTGGGTTTTATATTTTGCCAGGATGAGGCACGGGTGCAGAAGGTTACAAAGCGAATTCACACACTGGAGGAGGTGAACATCAACGTCAAGCTACTGACCGAGATGCTGTCCCACTACAATAAAGACAGTTCCACTGACTCAGACAAGGAGATTATTAAGGTGTGCGTCCATGCCATAGACTGTATATAACAGATGGAGGTGACCACTGCGATGTAACCCACTGGCTTGTGAGCTGCCTTTTTGAGATTGATTTTAGTCACCAAAAGTGGCCATAACTGGACAAGATGGTGCAGCTTTGAGTTATCAGCTAGCTAGGTTTGTTCGGAAACTACATCAATAGACTGTACGATGAATCGCACAGACACAGTCACGTGCTAATTATTGCAAATGAAATAATATCTTCATTTAAAAAATGGAAGCACATTCTTGTTGGACTGTATGAGTACATTTAACCGAATGGATAGCTATGCAATGCTATACTGAATTAAAATGCTCAAAAACGCACAAACACCATAAACACAGCAGACACTTCCAGTTCAGTCATGTGATTTAGCTCAGCAAGGAGCTAACAACTAAAGCCTGCTGTGTTGATGACCCACCTGTCATTCAAATGATGGTGGATGGGTGATGATTCGGGCTTGTTTTGCAGCCACAAGGCACCTTGCAGTCATTTTGCCCATGAACCTTTCTGTTTCCCAAAGTATTCTGGACACAGTTGGGAGACCATCCGTCTGACAGCTGAAGCTTGGCTTAAATTGGGTCATGCAGTAGAACAATGACCCCAAGCACAGCAGCACATGTACAACAACAATGTCTAAAGTTGTTGTGAAGGGGAAAAATGACCTACAGGACACATACACGGTTTTTTTTCTACTGAAAAATTTGAAATTTTAACCTCATATTTGGAACCAGCCTCAAGTGGCCATTTAAGGAACTGCAGTTTTTGGCACTGTGTGGAAATTGCTGGTTGGTCCCTGCAGGGGAAAAAAGCACACATACAATTCAACAGGATCATCTTCTTTATTCTTTACTCAACAATCAGAAAATGGAAAAAGTTGGAAAAGATATTTTCAATTCAGTATTTGGCCTGGTAAATGGTAAATGGCCTGTATTTATATAGCGCTTTACTAGTCCCTAAGGACCCCAAAGCGCTTTACATATCCAGTCATCCCCCCATTCACACACACATTCACACACTGGTGATGGCAAGCTACATTGTAGCCACACCCACCCTGGGGCGCACTGACAGAGGCGAGGCTGCCGGACACTGGCGCCACCGGGCCCTCTGACTATTTAAAGGCACAGATAAAGAAATTCATATTTTGCACTCCAGTAATTTGTTTTATCATTTCATTGTGGGTTGAATGCACAGCGTTTTTTAACAAATATAGTTTGAACCTGATGTTTTCATTTGATATTTTCCAATTCTTTAATGTCTGTCAAGTTTCTAACAGCAGCAGTGTCACATCTGCACGCTAACCGTACAGCACGTCCTTTGTGTCACCTCTCAGGAGCTCTACGAGCGCTGTGACAAGCTGAGACGAGCTGCTTTCAAAATGGCCACTGAGACGGAGGACAATGACACCAGTTTAGGTTTGTCACATTGGTCTCGGTTTGATTGAGCAAGCCCTGTCTTCACTTTGTGTGCGTAAAATCTATAACCACTGACCTTCGACTCCTCAGGTGACATCCTCCAGGCCAGCGATGACCTCTCCAGAGTCATCAACGCCTATAAGAAGATTGTTGAGGGGCAACCAATCAACGGCGACAGTGAAGAACCTCTATCGACAGCTGGTCACAGC